CTCCTTCACGGCCAGCGTCAGCAGCTTGCTGACCATCACCATCGACCGCTACCTGTCCCTCTACAACGCCCTGACCTACTACTCGGAGAGGACGGTCACCAGGACTTACATCATGTTGATCCTCACCTGGGGAGCCTCCATCTGCTACGGGCTCCTGCCCATCATGGGCTGGAACTGCCTGAAGGAGCCCTCCGCCTGCAGCGTCGTCAAGCCCCTGACGAAGAATCACCTCATCATCCTCTCCCTCTCCTTCTTCATGGTCTTTGCGGCGATGCTCCAGCTCTACGTGCAGATCTGTAAGATCGTCTGCCGGCACGCCCACCAGATCGCCGTCCAGAGACATTTCCTGGCCGGTTCCCACTACGTCACCACCCGAAAAGGCATCGCCACCTTGGCCGTCATCCTGGGCACCTTCGCTTCGTGCTGGCTGCCCTTCGCCGTTTACTGTCTCCTGGGGGACTACAGCTACCCGGCCCTCTACACCTACCTCACCCTCCTCCCCGCCACCTACAACTCCATGATCAACCCCGTCATTTACGCCTTCAGGAACCAGGAGATCCAGAAAGTGCTGTGGACCGTGTGCTGCGGGTGCCTCTCCTCCGCCATGCCTTTCCGGTCCCGCTCCCCCAGTGACGTCTGACACGTCCTCCCCCCCAGCCTCTCGGCACCTTTCACTTACCGATCGCGGTTGGGGGATCTTCTTTTTTTTTTTTTCCCCCTTTTCATTCCAAGAGACGCATCACAGGAGCTCTCCACGCAGCTCTTCCCAGCCCCGTCCTTTTGGGCACAACCCCTTCTCTTCCTCTATTTTTCCACTTTTTGAATTTACAGGAGAGAAAAACATATTTTTTATCCATAATATAATCTATATTTATGCGTGCACGCGTGAGAGAGAGGGGGGAGATCCTCATATTTTCTTTAAAACTATTTATGATGCTTTATTTTTTTAAGGGGGGGATACCAGGAATGTTCGCTCCCCTCTTTGCTTTTTTTACAGCCTCGTTATTTACCTCAGAGAGTTAAAATATATTTTG